TTAGGAAGCTCAATCCAATACCAGTGAAAAATCATTTAATGTCATATTCTTAAAAAATAATTTTTAGAAATTGAGAACTTTCATTACAAAGTGGTGATTTAAATAACCAAATCTGCCTTACAACAGAGTTGTTCTTTTTTTAAAAATGAAAAAAACATTTTTTATGGTAGAAATAACCAAAGACTGATTTTTCCCTATACCATAAAACAAATTTTTGAAGTGAATGTCTAAACAACAGTGCCAATAGTTTCAGTAAGTAATATTTAGGGAAAATGTACGATTTTCTAAGTTAACAGAAATTACTAGAATATTCAATATACAAAAGCTAACAAAGCAGACAATGAATTTCTTTTACCACACCTCAATTATAATATAAAAAACTTCTGCTGTAATTCCTACCTTTATAAATATCCTAGAGAAAGATGTTGCTGCTGTATTTACCATTAAGTTGATTTAAGTTTCACTTGATGGCCTTGCTCCTTACCAGGAATAAAACTGCAATTCTGGAGAAAGCCAGTCAACAACAAAGCCCATGTTGCCCAAGCAAGCCTGAATTTCTAGCAAATAGGGATGAAGCTATTTGCATTTGTTGGTTTAAAGGGGGGAGGAGTAGGAGGAGGGACTAAAGGGACTGCTAAAGTAATTCGCATATTGTCTGTGGCCTGCAGAGACAGTGATCATCAGTCACCTGCTCAAACTTCCTTCACTCCTGCCTTAGACAAGGACCAAAGGTTACCCTGGGTCAGAGAATCTGGAAAGACATGCCAAGATCTAACTGCCAACCCATCACATCTATAGACAAAGTTATCCCTCCTGGGTCACATGTACTGAAAACCAAGACATTTTAATAGTCTCAAGAGGACTTGTTAAAATGTATCATAGAACTGAACCAAAAACTGAACCAGGCTCTGCTTTCAATTATTGTAGTACAGTAACCAGTTGAAATATTTTAAGCAAAGAGAAGACATTTGCTTTTTTAAAAGATATTTCTCTGCATCATAATAGCCATCTCGTTGTACAAGCAAAACATTTATTCCAAGCTGTTCATATGAAAACAGAAAATTATTTTAAATTTTATGGTTTTTACATGAAATATTTGGATGAATAGCATTTCTAGCCATTTCATGTATACCAAATAAGAAGAGTACTGAAAATACTAAATATATTAGTCCGTATTTTATTATAAAATACATTAAGGACAAAAATCTGTATGAATACTTCAGCATTTATTTAGAAGCCCTCTAGAAGAACTAACACACCTTGAACTTTTTACAGTCTTGGTTATATAGCTCTGCCACTTCTGACCTACTATAACACAGAAATGAAAAGTGCAGCTTTATGTTTTTTTTAAACCAAACATATACATTCCTACAAAAATAAAAAATTGGTGAAGATATGCCCATAAAATTTTAATTTCGAAATTTAGAAAGGTAAAGCGCAAGTTATGGAATCCATATACTCCTTTTGTGTGTTTCTGAACATAGAGGGAAAAAAGGGCATAATTTCTAATTTTGTAGGGGTAAAAATGAGAAAGGGGCAGGGGCCAAGAGTAGACTATTTCTTTTTTGCTCAATGAAAACTGAAATACTTCCCAAAAGACAAATATTGAAAAGCAGTTAAAAGGAAAATGCTGTATGTAAGGAGTTGTTCAAAGTAAGTCTGTTACACATGAAGTGACAGTTACATTTTTAAAAGATCCAAAGTCTAGATTTTAAAATCCATTCCTTTAAAATTAAACTAAACCACACATACACCTGCACACACACAAACCAGTATAAAATAAGCTTACGTTTAAGATTTATGAAATTTTTCTTTTACTTTAATCTTAAGAAAATTTCTGTTTGTAAAATTATGTCTGAATTGGCAGTGAAGAAAATCTGATTTGCTAAGTAGGTCTATCAAATATTCAGTATCAGAAATGTGTTTGCAAAGCTGTGAAGAAAATGCCATGTTACTACTACATTCGATTTCTAAATTAAAGCTGTATCCATCAGAGGAAGGAGGGTGGAAAACTCAATAAACTAAAGAGTTGGTTGTATCAAGAAAAGAGTTAAGATAGTCACTGAATGCTTACAATGCCACTGAACAAGAATGTTTGGCTATATCTCTCTGACTTTAGGTTTTCCCCTCCTCCATGGCTCCTTTTGGACCACAGGAATTCCTAGATACCCTTGGGATCCTGCAACTTTATACTCAAAGCATCTGGAAGTTTGCTGCCTACTCTCCTTCCTGGTCTGTAAGGTCACATTGTTAAAAGAATTACATTACAAAAGGACACTTCATAGCAGTGTAAGTCATTAATTTACGATTAATGCTATATAAACCTGAAGCTAAACTTAAAACGAGTAAGTTTAAATTTTAATGTATACATTGAAAATTATTCAAGTACCTTTAAAGTAAAGTAGAATGGTTCACAACATAACAATTTTTTACAAGCCTTGAATATCCCATAATCTTAGAAAAAATTAATATTGGGAATGTTTTAAAAAGAATCTTCTGCTCTGAATCCCCCAATTTCACAAAAGACTAAAAATCTACATTTATTATTCATAAATAAAATATCCATTGGTTCTAAGCTTCAATTAGCTTTTTTTTTTTTTGGTTTTTCTCCAGTACCGGGAACTGAACTCACGACCTTGCGCTTGCCAGGCAGGCGCTTTTGCCGCTGAGCTAAATCCCCAGCCCCAAGCTTCAATTAGCTTTAAATCTTCCATAGCTTTTCAAAGTAAGAGTGGTTCCAGATTTGATTCTAAGGTGCAATATTATCGTATCTTGCTCTTTCATGTATACAATATGTGGAATGACTGGCTATAAATTCCAGTGACTGTATGCTAGAAACATGGGAAGGGCAGTTGAAGAAAACAACAACAACAACAGTAACAACAACAAACAGTAGCTCAGAGGGTATTACTAAATTCATATCGTTATTCAGAGGAAACTAAGATATCTGACTCAGCCTCTTTCTCCAAGTTGGCAAGAATACAACACATAAGCTTCTTTCCTTTTTCTCAGCAGACATCAAATCTGATCAACTGTGACAGCATCAACCACAATTTAAGAGCTCTAAATAACTGTAGGGGACATAACAAGAACTAAGAAAGGAAAGTCTAATAAATAAGAAGCAAAAAAGGCCCATTGTTTGCTCGATTTTGTGTGCAAGTATGCTTTTCAGTGGGGTTTTCTACCACTAATAACTCTAATGATAATTTCACTGTTTCTGATTATAGAAATGTTTATCCAGTTAAAAAAATTTTTTTAAGAAGTTTTAAAGAAAATTCAAATACCATTCATGGATACCTAAATACATTTCTTCAAGAAAGTATGCAACTGAGTATCTTTAGCCATTTAATTATTTTACAGAGTTTTAAGTGCTATGTCCTAAAAAAATAAGGAAAAGCAATTATTTAAAGACTGAAAAACATTTCCAGTGGTAAGAAATATTCAAAATATGAACATAGATGTTTTAACTTATAAAACTCAATTTAATACTACATGTATCTTTTGAAATTATTCAACTTTAAGCCACTTAAATTACTTCATATTCAATAAATATTTCTACAAGTTACAAGACTACAAAAACATAAAAAAGCAAGTGACTGAAAAAAAAATTTACTTTTATGATAAAAGATTGATATAGGCAATATATGAAGCAATGAATCAATAAAAAAGGAACACTAAGAGAAAAAATAGGAAAAGGTGATTAGCAGGCAAATTATACAGAAATATTAATAGGCAAAATACATGGAAAGAAAAAGATGCAAATTTACTAGTAACCTATGAAATGAAATATTTAAAAATAACTAAATAACAATAAAGATAACTCTCAAGGTTGGCTAAGAGTAGGAACAAATCACTTTTACCTACTTCTGAGAATGGTAGAAATGGTTATACTCTTCTGAAAGACCATCTCTCAGACTTAAAAACACACACAGCCAACCCAAGCAAAACTACCGTATAGAAATAGAGGTATGCATGAAGATAATCATCATATCATCTAGTTTAAAAAACATAAATCTGTAAATACTATAAGCACCTTATAAAACACAGATTAGCCACATGTTGAAATTGAATGCAGAATTAAATTTCAATTTGTAAGAATATATTTTACATGGGAATACAGATGCTCTTCAATTTATGATGGGTTATGTCCTCACAAACCCACTGAATATTAAAAATACAATTGTAAGTCAAAATGCATTTAATACACCTACCTTGTGAACACCATAATTTAGCCCGTCCTACCTCAAAACATGCTCAGAACATTTATTGTAGGCTCAGTGATACAAAGAGCCTGCGGCAGCACACAAGTCATAGGTTCACCACCACTGATCTAGATAGTCATAGTACAGTGTTCAATTCAGGAAACAGCATTAACAACTGATAAACACTATCATAACTAAAATGACACAGATATCTACAATGGCTTCCAAAGAGTCATTCTACATATTGATTTTACTTAAAATTAATAAAGTATTGATTTAATTTGAAAATAGAACCAGGTTCATGTCAAACTATGTTTTTAACAGTTTGTTATGTCCAACCTTTAAAAAATTATCCTAGAGATATAGACAATGGAATACCAAGTGTAAATTTTCTGTTTTCTTTTTGGGTACTAGAAATCAAACCCAGGGCTTCACATAAGCATGTACTCTATCACTCACCTGTGTCTCAGAATAGTAATTATAAAGGTAGCTGCCCACCACCCTGCCCAATGCTTAAAGCCAACAAGGCTTCCTTGATCCAAATGTGACTTTCAATTTTGTCCATTTTCTCCAGGATGGAATAGAACTTAATCTATGACACTGAAGTAGCCCTCAAGAATTCTAATCATAATCTTCCTTTGCCTTGGGTTCTAACCCAGATAATGCTCTTGCTGTTCTACCTGACCCTCTAGTTGGCCACGAAGTCTTAATATCATCAAAGCTAACCATAATGCCAGCAAAAGCAATCAGTTCTAACTTCATTAATATAAAAGAACATGTAGTTACTTTTTAGCTTACCCTTATTCCCTGGTGGTTGTAATACATCTCCTGTCAGGCAACACCACCCAACTGGGAAAATTTCTCTAGAATCATACTTGCACCAGTAATCAAATGCTCCACTCCAACCATCAAATGTGATGTAAACTTCATCTCTTTTAACATCTCCAACTGTTGCTGGGCAGATGAAATATGGGTTCTTTCTGTCAGTAGCTTCCAGTTTCATCCCCACCTTAAAATTATTTACAGGTGGCCTTGGTGGTTCCTACAGAAATATTTAAAAGTTTTTTCAATGTTAATATGCATTAAGAACCATTTTCTCAAGTGTATTATCTTACAAGTCTTGGTAATCATAAATAATACTTCATTATTTTCATTTTGTTAACTAATAAAGGAAGAAAGGAGTTCTCACAGATCCACAAATCTGTTCTTCAACATCTCATTTTTATTCTACAGTACAGCCAAGGACCTAGAAGGAAACAAAACCAGCCTGACCCATCCATTCATTCATTCAAAAAACATAATTCATCTACTATGTAACAATTTAAGATTCACTGGTGGACAAAAATATCAACGATTCCTGCTCTGGTGGTGCTTACATTCTAGTGGTGTTGGCAGTAGAGGTTGGAGACAGCAGAGAACAATGAAGAAGAAAGTTTAAAAGAGAAAATCAGACAACCCTAATAAATATGCAAATAATAGAAGTGTGTGTTGATTATGGTTAAGTAGAAAGGGAAGCAACATATAATATTCTAAGACACTCGAAGTATAAAATTCAGACATAAAAACATGAAAGTCACATAATATGAATGATAGCCAATACTCAGAAATCAGTATTAAAACAGCATTCCCAGCTGGGCATGGTAGTACATGTCTGTAATTTCAGCACTCTTAAAGACTAAGGCAGAAGGATCAGAGTTCATCCCAGCCTGGGCAACTCAGTGACTTAGTGAGACTGTCTCAATATAAAAGAAAAAGAACTGAGGTTGTAGCTGAGTGTGAACACCCGGGGTTCAATTTCCAGTACTATGCACCACACTACCCCCGACCGGCACTCCTTAGTTACAAAATATGGAAGTATCTAAATGGTGACAGGATTCTCAGAAAACCCAAATACTATGTCCAGAAGCAACATGTTTTCTTTCAATCAGCTTTTCATGCTAGTAAAAGGTACCATCACAGTAACCCAGTAACCCAAGCCAGAAGCCTAGAAATAGTTCTGGACATAGGTTTTTACCTCTACTGAACATTAGAATCACCTGGGGCCATGCCATCAGAGACTCTAACTGAACTGGTATAGGGTGGGGCACAGGTAACAGCATGTTTTGTTTTGTTTTGTTTTTGGTACCGGGAATCAAACTCAGGACCTTGTGTTTGCCAGGCAGGCACTTATGCCACTGAGCTAGATCCCCGGCCAACAGCATGTTTTAATTCTCCAAAAGTTCTAATGTGTACCCAAAATTGAGAAGCACTGCTCAAGATTCATCCCTTCCACTTACTCACAATTCAAATCAAAACCCATAACCTGCAATTACCCTCCTCTCTGGAATAATAACACCAAAAGTAAACCTTAAAATTTTATTATATGCCAGGTACTGTTTTAGTTTTACATATATTCATTTAGTCCTTACAAGAATGCTACGAGGCCAATGCAATTATTATTCCCTCTATGTGGATAAGAAAACTGATACAGTATATACTTCTCTAAGACTACAGCCCCAATTATCAAGGCTGGATTTTAAACCTAAGCAATCAGTCTGATAGCAACCTCCTTGGAATACCCTACCCTAAAAACAGCCTGGCCACCCCCAACTCATCCCCTTCAAAACCTAGCTCTCCTGGCCCTCTTGAATGCTTCCCTACTAAACATTGTCCACTTTCAGGCCCCACCTCAACAGGGCTACTCTCATTTTCACTCATGAAACCACTATTGAGGTATACACTCTTCCATGAAACTGAGAGAGGCATTAATTACATCTTACCCATGTTATTATTTCCAGCATAGTATTCAACAGCAAGAACTTTTTTAAAGGAAAAAACATATCAAGGAATCATCTAAGAATAGTAAATAAGCTCCTGGTTTTATATTTTGGTGGTACTTTGGATTGAGCCCAGAGGCACTCTTTCACTAAGGTACATCTCTAGATCCCCTTTTAGAAAAATGTATTTATTTGTTTGTATGCATTTTGTGATACTGGGAATTGAACCCAGGACTTTCTCACTGATCTACATCTGAGCCCTTCTGTATTTTTTTATTCTGAGATAGGTTCTTGCTAAATTGCCTAGCTTTGGCTCAATCTTTTAATCTTCCTGCCTCAGCTTTCTAGAGTGCTGGGATTACAGGCATGTGCCATCACACTTCTTTATTTTTTCATTTGAGACAGGGTCAGATTTAGGTAATTGACAAAACAGTTCCCTCTTCTGTCCACAAAAGTTAAGGATATAAGGTACTTTTAAATGTTTTCATTTCTTGAATGACTTCTGAAGTGTAATTATTTGCAAAAGACACAGCTAAAATACACAGAGGATTATTCTCTTACTGTGAGATAAAAATGGTTCTATTCTAGATGGTAGCTAGTAAAGAATGCTCTTTTGGCCTCTCTTCTTACCTACCTACAATATGATTCTCCTAGTATCCCACTAACTCTCACACCAGTCTCATCATTTATCTGTGTTATTTCTCTGCTTGGAATATTCTTATTCTTAGTAGCTTCATGGTTCCCTCTCTTTTCCTTCAGCTCTTCATTCAGATGGCACCTTCTCAGCAAGAACCTACTGACCAACCTATCTAAAATGTCCACCTCTGCTCTCCTAATCCTGCAGAACTACCAAATACAACACATGTTCTATTGAAATAGCTTATGAAACATTTCTCAAATTAGAGGTAAGACCCATAAGGGCAGGAGGTTTTATGCTTTGTTTATTGCTATATTCTGAGGGTCCACCTGTGACCACAAACTCCTATACTTAACTTCTACCTTCTTACTTTTAATACACTTCTTTGATCTCATCAAGTATTGTAGCCCATTAACTTTCATGTATTCATTTACAAATGTTTGTAACCTACTATATGTGAGACATGACTGAAGGTTCTTCAGATATATTAAGCAGCAAAAGAGACAAAATCCCACTCTTATGGCACTAATATGCAAGAGAGGAGGAACAGACAATAAACATAACTTAAAAGCAGAATATACACAAATGCTGGAAATCACAGGTGTTATGTAAAAAAGAGTAGAGGAGATCCAGAAAGCAATGTGTGGGAAAGGGGTGAACAATTTTAAAGAAGGAAATCAAGTCAAGTTTCATATGAAAGGTGACATGTGAGCAAAAACCTGAAGGATGTGATTACTAACCATGCAAATACAGATAGAGATGCGTTCTGAGGAGGAAAAATGCCCAAGGTCAAGGCTCTAAAGAAGGAGACATGTCTGAAAAATTTGAGGAACATCAAGGAAGCATAGCTAAAATGTAGTATGTTAAGTAGGAGAGCAGCAGGAAAAGAAGCGAACAACTTCTGCTGATTGCTAACAAGGAGTTACACCATCTACTATCTTGTAGGCTCCTATAAGGACTCTGGCTTTTACTCTGGGTAAAGTAAGAACCTCCTGAAAGGTTACAAGAAGAGGAGTGGTGTACTATAATGACATATTTTTAAAGGAATACTCTGGGTGCTAGGTTGACTCCTAAGGAAGGTATTACAGCAGCCTAAGTAAGAGATAAAAACAGCTTGTACCAAGGTAATGGAAATGGCAAGAAGTGGAAAAATTTGGGATACATCTTAAAGGTAGAGTCAATAGGATTTCCTTTTGGACTAGATGTAAGGGTTGAAAGAAAAGATCACCAAAGTCTGTGGCCTGAGGAATGAGGATAGTTCCCATTCCCTGAGATGGGAAGATTGCAAGTAGAATTTAAGATGTCCACTAGACATTCAAGTGGAGATGCAGGGTAGGTAGGTAGCTGGCTATACAAATCTAAGTTGGGTCAATAGGTTTGGACTAGAAATACAGATTTGAAAGTCATCTGCACATAAACTCCATTTATAGCCAAAAAATTAGATGAGAATATCACAGTATAGAGAGTAGGATTTCTCAAACTTGGCACCACTAATACTTAGGGCCAAAACATTTCTTTGTTGTGTGGGAATTGTTTTATGCATCGTAGATATTTAGTAGCACTCTTGATCCCTATTCACTAGATGTCAGCAGCATGCCCCTACTCAGTTGTAACCAAAAATATCCCCAGACACCACTAACTGTCCCTGGGAGTGAGACAGGCAGAGAAACCACTCCCTCTTCCCAGCTGAGTACTACTAATACAGAAAAGGACTACTACGGTTTGGATTACAAATGTCCTACAAAAGGCTTGTGTGCTCAGAGGTGGGGCTTTTGAAGAGGATTACATCATGGGGCACAAATCTTACAAGTTTGTAGCTGAAGGCGTTATTAAAAGGTGGGGTTAGTTGGAGGAAGCAGGTCAGTAGGGACAACCTGGGAAGATATATCCTGTCCGTGGTCCCCTCTCATGACACTCCCTCACTTTCCCCCCTCATTCTGTTCCTATGTACCACATAATCAAGAATGTGCTTTCCTCTTAACTGACCTCTAGCATATCATGTGGACCAGGCAATATGAAATTCCGAGGTGTACTTTAGACTGTTACCACTCCCTAGTCCTTACAATTCTTTGTTCCACTAAGTTCCCTGACATTAGTTTATTCTAGCTTTCTACCTCCTACTTCTAAGGCTATTCTGATTCTTCTACCCACCCTATGAAGGTGAGCATGTACTTCTCAAGGTTCTAATCTTGATGCATCTATCTTTTATGTATTTGCTGAACTAGCTCATTCACGCTTAAGGCCTCCATCACTGTTATTTATGCTAAAAACTTCCAAATCCACATGCCTAAGCCAAACTTAGTTTATAAATTCTAAATCCTTTATTTCCAACAGCCTGTAGTCTTCCCTACTTAAACTTCCCACAGATACCTCAATATACCCAAATCCAAAGCCACATGCTCCCTCCAAATGTATTCATCTTCCTGTACTCCCTAATCCTTTCTTCATTCATTCAACAAACAAATGTAAGCCCAATAACTAAGACAGGCACTGAAAATACGAAGACTTGCTAACTAGTCAACTGGAACTCATATTCTAAGACACAGAGAGTAAAATAATACCCAATAATACAAAGATTCATATATGCCCAAGATACTACAGAAGTACTGTTGAAGAATGGAAGGCAGGGATTAGGGCACATATCTTGAGGATATAATGCCTCCTCAAATCTTTAAAAAGTAGTTAGTCAAAGATTACCAGAATGAGTCAAAGACAACTCTAAAAAGGAACATGCTGTCTACAGGATATTATAAGCAATTTAGAACACAAAATCCAAGTTGGGATGTGGCAGCTGCAAACCAGAGGACCTAAGAGGCTATATTAAGAAACTTACATTTCATCCTAAGTGTGACCAGAAACTTCAAAAGAGTTTTAAGCAGGAGAATGAATGACATACTACGGTTTTTGTATCACATACACACTTCTAGCAGTTGTGTGATAGAGTAAAGATTGGGGTAGTTAAAAGGCTAGTGCAACACTCCACGCAAGAAGGAAAGCTACAGGAGAGGCAGTTGCTTAAGACTAGAAGGAAGAGACAGAACAAAGAAACTAGAAAGCTCAGTGAGTACAGTTACCCCTAATTTACTGGTTATGCAGAAGCTAAGGTCGAACAGGAGTGTGAGGATTTAAGATGGCTCCTGGCAAAGTTCAAAGTTTGGCTGGAAAGGACACCCACAAATCAAGAAGAGAAACACAACAGAAAAACAGGCAAAGGCTTTAAGGAGGCAATGTACAGAAAAACAAAAGGTTATTAAATTTCAAAAGCTCGATATCACTTCTAGTAAGTGCAATGCAAATTAAAATAAAGAGATATCATCCCCATCTTTGACTCTCTCTCAAAACTTCAAAAAATTTTAAAAGATAATATATTAGTGAAGGTATGAGGATACAAACATGTCTATATGCTTAACAGTGGTACACAGCTTGGAACACCCTTCTGGAATGTAATTTCAGAGCTTTTGTTTTGCTTTTAGTTTTTGAGACAGGCCCTCAAGGCTGGCCTTGAAGTCACTATGTAAGCTCAGGCTGTCCTCAAACTCACAGTCATCCTCCTGCCTCAGCCTCCCAAGTACTGAGTTACACATAGGTATCACAATGCTTGCCTCAATTTAATAGTATTTATCAACATTTAAAACATACAACACTTTGAAGCAGAAATTCTACTTCTGAGCATACAGTCGTTCCTATTTATAAACAAAACATTATGTAAGAATCCTCATATAGAAATATATCATGAACAAATACTCAAAGATTATCTAATTATCCATCCTTAGAGAGGTTAAATCAATTCTACTAATCCATACCACAGAAAAATAGAACACAACCCAACATATATATGAAATAAAATGGAAAGATTTCCAAAACATGCATATTTTAGAAGGGAAAAGTAAACCATAGAGTATATTCTTATTTATGCTGAAAAAATTAAAAGCTTGTATTTGTGAATGCATAGAAAAAGGTCTAGACCAGTGGTGGTGAACCTATGGCATGTGTGCCACAGACAGTTATTTACTATCATTGAAAGCTCTGAAGGGTTTGCCATTACTGGTATAGAAGAACAAATAAAACTTCAATTTAGAGAGAAGAGTGGAATGAAAGTATTGACAGCACCAAGGGAGCTGTATTTTTCATTGTAGCAAAGCATATAGTTTGATCCCGCCCACATACCCACATGAATTACTTTATAATTTAAAAAATGAGACTATGCTGGGGATTTAGCTCAGTGGTAAAGCGCCTGCCTGGCAAGTGCAAAGTCTTGAGTTCAGTTCCTGGTACCAGAAGAAAAACAAAAAAACAAACAAACAAAAAGATAAAAAATGAGAATGCGTATGTCATGTGGCATGTGACTACCTGACAGAGCAATCTAGCAAGTAAAAGAGATCCAATGGCTTTTCTAAAGTCACAGCCCAAGCTAAGAGGTTTTAATAAAGACTACTGCTAGCCAGGAGTGGCAGTGCATGCCTGTGATCCCAGCTCCTGGACAGGCTGAGGCAGGAGGATTCCAAAATCAGGAACAGCCTGGGAAATTTAGAAAGACCTTGTCTCAAAATTAAAAATAAAAAAGGTTGACAATGTAGCTCAGTATTTCCTGGGTTCAATCCCCAGTACCCCCCCACACACAAATTCCTGCTAAATTTTTTGTTTTATTAGCTAGTTGACAGTAGCCAAAAGCCTTGCATTTCCCAATATACCTTGCTGGCTAGATAAGCCCACTTTCCGTACTGATGCTGCTCAAAGGAGTACTCAGATAATTCTTCTTCATAATGCAGGTGTATTAGTTGATGTCTTATATTCTTATGTCTTTCATCTTCTTAGGAAGCTTTTTAAAACTATAATAATCAGTTTTTACACTCCCAGTATGAATAGTTGTAGTAAAATTTAAGTACCATATTAAAAAGCCATTAGGAGAGTGAGAAAGAAATATTATGAATCATAATTCAACTTGGCTTTCATTCACTGTTTCTTCACATACTTTTTTCAATATTTTCTCAAGAACACGAACTATTTTAGGAGGTTTTTCTCTCTCATTTTTATATAACAAGTATTTCCTTTTAACAATTATTTCTCATGACTACTTTTAACTTCTTTACTTCTGAAATCATGTCTTTGCAAGTAACTTCTTGGTAATTTTCTGGCCCATCATCATTTTCTCCAATATGAAAGGAATGACTAATACAACAAGGTAAAGGGGAGGCTTCATTGTAAAGGTAAATAAGAATTACAAACATCTACTCCAACTAGAGCACCCCTTACATATCTAAAGTCAAGAAAGAGGCACTCTGAGAGGCTGAAGAAGGAAGAAAATGTCCAAGTCCAGCCTGGGTAACTCAGCAAGGTCCTGCATTAAAATGTAAATGAATGAATGAATGAATGAGGGGTGACCTGTAGCTTAGCATGAAGGCCCTGGGTTCAATTCCCAGTGCAAGAAGGGGAGGAGGGAAAAGGTGAAGGGGGAAAGAGTGGAAGGAGAAGGAAAAGGAAAAAAAGAGAAAGAGTGTACTAATTTAATTTGGCTAGTGAATAATTGTAATTTTCATGATCTGATGTTATGGGCTGAATTGTACCATTCCCAAAATCTTTACATTGAAGCTCTAATCTTTAGTACCTTAGAATGTGACTATATTTGGAAATAGGGTCTTTAAAGAGGTAATTAATTTAAAACGAGGTCATAAGGGTGGGTCCTAATCCAGTAAGTCTAAATCCTCCTGTAAGAGAAGGAAAGTTGGACAGAGAAACAGACCACGTGAAAATACAGGGTAAAGAGCACATACACAAGCCAAGGAAAGAGGGAAGAAATCAACCCTGCCCAAACCTTGATTTCCAACTTCTAGCCTCCAGAGCTATGAGAAAGTGAATTTTTGTTGCTTAAGCTACTATTAAGAATTGTGTCCCCTCAAAATTCATGTTGATGCAACTAATCATCACTCTGACTATATTTGAAGATAAGACTTTAAATCAATATGACTAGTGCCATACTAATAGGAAGAGACCCCAGGGATGTGCATACATACAGAAGAGACTGTGAGAAAGATGATGGACATCTTTAAGCCAAGAAAAGATTTCACCAGAAACCAACCTGGAAGACACCTTGATCTTAGACTTCTGGTTTCCAGAGATGTAAGAAAATACATTTTTGTTGTTGAAGCCACACAGCCTGTGGTACTTTGTTATGGCAATCCCAACTAACTAATAGATTTGCCAATCCAGTAACTTAGAGTACTTTTGCTAGACACAGTGGTACAGACTTCTAATCCCAGCACTTGGGAAGGAGGGACGAGGATTATTGAGTTCCAGGCCAACCTTGGCTACATAGTGAGTACAAGGTCAGCCTGGAATACATAGCAAGGCTGTCAATCAATCAATCAGTCAGTCAGTCAATTGCTAGCATTTCTGTTTTTCCATGTCAAAGAAGACAAAACATTTAAGCATTCCCATTAAAATAATAAAGTCATGGCTCAGCTAATGGAGGCCATTAACGATACTTTTCTTACCTTCTTGAAGAATGTTGCAGGTGCCAGCTCAGATCCACTTAGTATTCGCAAGACGAACACTGGCCAAGATGATACACTCATCTGGTATCCTATTTTTATGAAATAAATTATGTATCATGAAAAAGCTTTCCCGTGATTCTATAGCAAGTTGGCATTTTAAAAAAGTAGGTCTCATTAACTACCACTGTCCAGAGAACTACTTTCTCATCTAAGAACTTGGGACATGGGCAGGAGAAGCAGATCTAGCCTCCTCTCATTGATACTTCCCCACTGTACTATGTGGCAACAACACTAGGAGAGCTAGGAACTCGTATTCAAGAGAAGCCTCTGGCTAGGCTCACCAACAAACACAAGTATCTTGGAGAAAGGCCACAACACTACAGGTGATCCAAGCCAGAGCCCATGAAAGCTTCAGTTCTACCACAACAAGCAAGCACACAAGCACAAGCAAAGGTTTCAGAAGACTTCTAGCTCCTTTTTCCTTAGAGTTCCCAGCTTCTTTTTCTTTACCTTTCTTTCAGAAGGACAATTTTCTGTCAGACTCAGCAAATATACACATACAAAAGTGCATTTTATTACATGTAAGTCTTGTGTCAAAAGAAAAAAACTATATTTAAGGGAAATGTACGAGAGTCAGTAACTTACTCTGAAATGCACTAAAAATAAAATGTGCTGATAAATCAATAGTAGGGCAAACAGATGGACCGATAAATGATAATGGTAGAATCTAGGTACAATAGTTGGTATATAGGTGTTCACTATAAAATTCTTTCATCCTTATTGCATATTTGACATTTTTTCTTAAAATGTTAGGAAAAATGAACACTCTCACATTAGCAATCACATACTAAACATGATCTTAAAATTTGTACCAGAAGTTACCAAAATAGACACAAAACCTGTCTTTTCTAGAGCTCTCACCTACTGGTATTACAGCATCCAGTACATGTAGCAGACAGCAGAGGTGTGCTAGTTTTACTGTTTTCTGGGGGCAATCTGTTTCATGCAACATCTGCCTGGCTAATGCCAGAAATGGAAAGAAGTTGGTATGCACTATTGATGGATACATGCATTAAGATACGGAGGTAACCAGATGTGGTGGTGTATGCCTCTAATCCCACCGAATTTGGGAGACTGAGACAGAAAGACTTCAAGTTCGAAGCTAGGCTAAGAAACTTAGTGAGATCCTACCTCAAAATAAAACTTTAAAAACAGCCTGGGGATACGGTTTAGTACTACAATGCTTGTCATGTGTGAGGCACTGGGTTCAATTCCCACTACCCCTCAACCCCCCAAAAACAATAAGGAAAGCTCATGAATCACTTATAACAGACCCACCCATCAGTAGGACAAAATACCCACAAGTTACAACTGAAAGTCATGCTCTAATAATCCTGTACTCAAACTCCCCTAATCTGACTAGGCAAACATTTTTTTCTAGGAAAAAAAGGGGGGGTTATTACTGTTATAATTACTGATATATAATAAACAATTTCCACTATTTATTATCTCCAGCATTATCTGTAGAATATTGTATAACAGTGATTCCATTCCTTATACCATTGTCTTAACTTTCATCTTATCTATACAGAATTCTGAATGATTTAAAAAAATATTATAAATAATAAATATGAATGATTATGAAGAAAGAAAAGAAGGCAAAAAGTAAAAAGCATGTATGGTCTAAGCCACCTTCTTGGGATATGTATTTCTGGCTAGTTTTTAAGAATATTTTAAACTTCTAGGTGTGGTAGCAAGCATCTATAATCCCAGAAGTTGGGAAGGTGAACCAGGAGGACTGCCATGAGTTCAAGGCTAGCCTGGACTATGGTGTTCAAGGTCAGCCTGAACTACACTGTGAGACCCGTCTCAAAATAACAAACAAAAATTTTTAAACTAGTATTTTGTTATAAGGATTGAATACAACCTCTTGTACATGCTAAATACATGCTGTAGCACTGAGCTTATACCCCTTAACTCTTAAACTAGTTATAATTAACAATCAAAACAAGGGCAGTAAGAAAAGCTATTGCTAAAAAGTGGTTATTTTTAGAATCTTAAATTTTTGGTTCTTGGGGAATTTTTACAACAGGAGACAAATACACCCATTCTCTCAATGTACTTTATATTAATTTTTACTTTTAGCACATAGAGAATAAGAAGCCAGGAATGGTGGTGCATGCCTGTAATCCCTTGGGGATCACTAAGGGAAGCTGAGGCAGGAGGATCCCAAATTTGAGCCCCGCCTGGGCAATTGTAGCTCAGTGTGAAGGTCCTGGGTTCAACCCCTAGTACCATAAAGATAGAGGAAGACGAGGAGACAAACAACAGCTAATACCAATAGCTATTACTCAGAATGGGAATAAAATAGATTACATTACGTATTTTCTATGGAGTATCACAACATGCTTAAATTTTAAGAAGAAAAACCAGCTGGGCCTGGTGGCACAAGCCTGTAATCCCACCATCAAGGAGGCTGAGGCAGGAGGATCCCTGTGAGTTCACAGTCAGCCTGGGCTACATAAGAGTTCAAGGCCAGCCTCCACTACAAAGTGACACTCTGTCTCAGAAAGAAGAAAGAAAAAAAGAAAGAAAGATTTGTCTCAAAAGTCACACCCTTTTAAAATGTGGGCCAAAATTGAGTACTACACATGTTGCACCTTAAACCCTTTGTTAAAAGTTCCATACTTTCTTCCTTTTCAAAGGCCTGAAGGTAAGTTCTCTTAAATGTGAGGTAGTGGTTTGGATTTGGAGCTCTCTAAGACTTCAGAGTACCAACTCCTACCCCTATAAGCTCTGGTTTCTTTTGACTGTAGGTGTAATGATACTTTCATGTTTAAAACTGGAGTCTGAATATGGAATCATACCTCTCCTCTAGGCTCATCCCTATACCAAAACTGCTAAATGGCTCACCAGAAAATATCAAGAGGGGATATAACTCATCAAATGCTATAAAAGACTTCCCTACAAAGATTTCTGAATCTGCATGTGAAATCTAATAAAGCTGCTTTAGTACGTCAAACCTGAAGACTTAGCATGGGGGCTGGGGATTTAGCTCAGTGGCAAAAGCGCCTGCCTGGCAAGCGCAAGGTCATGAGTTCGGTTCCCGGTACCGGAGAAAAACCAAAAAAAAAAAAAAAAAAAAAAAGACTTAGCATGACACCTGTCCTGAAATCCGACCCTTTAGCACACATTAACCACCTAAACATCTACTTGTAAGAATGCCTAACAATTTTAAAAGACTGCTTAAAACTACCTACTAAATATCACATTAGTAAGAATGTTATTTTATAAACTATTTATCCTCACCTAGTGGAGGCTGAAGTAAGTTTCCTTCCTTTTCACATGTTCCAACAGGCTGTATGTCTGAAGAATCAACAAGCTTCCAAAAATCATTACTATTGTCACTACCATCCAGCCGTAAACGTAGTCTGACCCCAGAAATTCCAACAACTGTGGCAATACATATTGAAGTAATATTGCGAGGGTCATGGGCTTCCAATTTCATGCCAATTTTGAAGTCATTAGCAGGAGGAACCTTAGACTATATATAAATAAAATTTTGTTAAAATACATCAACACTAAGGGAAAAAAAGATGGTCAGTTAAATTATCAGAATACCTTGGAAACATTTAAAATGTTCACACAAAGAGGTACAACAGATGGTGAATGAGGTCAGAGCTGTAAGGGTCAAGGAAAACATCTCCAAACTCCTTGACTTGAAAAGCAGCATTAAAAACAGGACACATAGCTACTATCACTCATCTGCTCACATCCAAGCAACCTACCTTAAGTGGCTTTCTAAAGTAAGAATTTCACTAGGCCATTTCCTTTGAAAGAAGCCACCTAACACTTTATCACTGTGTATGATAATAGAAGTTCAACGCCTGAGCACAGTATAAACACCTTACACCTTTATAATCTTATTCCCTATCACCTCAGTGCATTGTGTTCGTTACCCCATGCTTCACTACTCAAGATTCTTTTAAACCCAACTGCTTTGTTTTCAGATGTTTTTTCTTCTTGGAATATCCGTCTCATTCCTAGCAGCTCAAATACCACCTGTTTTGTGAGTTTCCCCTGCTCCACTACAGAGTTATGACATTTCTCATTATTTACTTACATGCCTGTCTTTCTCTCTAGATTGGCAATTTTAAGGGTTTAGTATTCCCAACACAGAGTAAATTCTTAATGAGTGAGTGCAAAGAGACCATCTGGGTTCCAAGTTACACAACCACAATCCCAGTTTCTCATACTACCAGAACATAACAATAGCACTCCCTTCAATAAGTACATAGTTTATATCCTCTTACAGAATTTTAGCATACCTGTCTGAAGCACTCTGAAGGAGCACTTATAGATCCAGTCTTTTTCAAATACATGTCCCAGTCAAAATCATCTGGAAGAAACACACATACATAAAACATATACACTAACTTTCAGAATATAGTGTTGTTGTTGTTTTATTGTTTTTTTGGAGACAAGGTCTTGTTATGCAGTTCATTCTGGCCTTGAACTCATGGCAATTCTCCTGCCTCAGCCTCCCAAGTGCGAGGATTACAGACATGCAGCAACTACTACGCCTGGTCATACAGAGGGTTTTAGCTCCATAATCTTTTAAAAAATACTTCCTAAAGAGCAGATTGAAACTTCTTAATCTCCATTTGATTACTAGCATGGGAATAAAAAACAGGCCAACTTTCTGAAAAATAATGGCTCTGATATAAATTAAAACCCAGATCCCCTCAATGTACTGAAGACTGAAGCATAGTAATTCTAAAAGTGTGGATGATAGAAACAACTAAATAATTTTTATAAAGTAACAGCACTATTTACCTGTCTCTAATATAAGTTTATCCAAGAAATATGTCTGCACAATTTCACACCATCAAAGTGAAGGTGTTGGGCTGAGGATGTAGCTCAGCGGCACAAGTGCCTGCCTCGCAAGTGCAAGGTCCTGAGTTTGATTCCCAGTACCAAAAAAAAAAAAAAAAAAAACAGGCCAAGAATTAAAGTGAAGGTGTTCAGATACATGGTTGAGTAAGGTTTAACCTCTGTAATGTTTTCTGGAAAGAAAAAAAAATCTATGAACCACAGTAATTTCTGAATGAAGTGTTAGATTTCCATCCAGAGTGACAAGAGCATGGTGGTAGGACAAACCAGTAATCATTAATGCAGCCATCAAAATGCATTATTTTACTGATCTACTCTTACTGTCTTTTTTCATACAGTACTAGATGAGAAGATTAGAAAACAGTATAATTTGGTTGGCTTTAACATTTCAATTCACTTGAAGACTGCCTTAACACTGAAAACTTAATTCTCATCAACCAGGAAGTTTTTCTGTACTCCTTGTAAAAACACTCCTTCCTGCAGGAATCTGCATTACCAGCTTCATATATTCAGTAGTTTTCCTTTACCCTTAGTTCCCTCAATCCACAGTGCCAGTTATCCATGATCACCTATAGTCCAAAATTATTCAATGGAAAATTCCAGAAATAAACAATTCATAAGTTTTAAATTGCATGGTGTCTCTGATTAGCCCGATGAAATCTCAGTCTCACTCCATCTCACTCAGAGTATTGATCACCCCTTTACCCTTGCTGGTACACTACCTAGTGTACCACTACTAGTGCCTAGTAGTCACTTTGTTGTCATCTCAGTTATGAGATCAACTGCTGAGGTATCAATATGCCTGTGTTCAAATAACTCTTTTACTTAATAATGACCCAAAAATGCAAGAGTAATGATGCTAGCAATCTAGATATCCAAAATAGAAGCCATAAAGTGCTACTTCTTTAGGCGAAAAGGTTGAAGTTCTCAACTTAGGAATGAAACAAGATCATATTAACATTGCTAAGATTTATGGCAAATTACAAGTATAGTTGTTAATACTTACTGTGACTAATTTATAAGTTAAGCTTTATCATAGATATGTAAGTATAAGAAAAATATATACAGGAAAAAAAATTATATATACAGAATATAATACTAATCATGGTTTCAAGCATCAACTGGAGGTCTTAGAATGAATGTATGCCAGATAAGTGGAAATGGGGAAATACTGGATTTTTCAAAAGCTACAATGTTCTCTCTCTCACACACACACACAAATGTTGATAAATGTTTAACAACCAGCTTTATGAAAATACAAACAAAACGCCTAACTGGTAGAGTGGCTTTCTATAGTGCAGTTACTATTACCATGGCCAACTGTGAGGAGCCAAGGTAAAGTTTCCAACTGTACAAGAAGTGATGTGCATAACAGGTTCTCCCAAGTCAGTGTGAGGCAGCTATAGCACACTACCATTACATATGTGTGCATTATATGTGTACACATTATGGTATTAAGCATGTCATATGTAGTAACATTTGATACCTTTCTTTTTAAACATTGAACCATACACTTAAAAATATGTGTCTGAATCCACTTCCAGATGATGTGACGGAGCATTACCAGAGTGTTGAAGGTCATATAGCAGTATCAAACATATGGACTTTGGAGTCAGAGTTGCCTGCTAGGTGACTCCAAACAAGTCATTTCACTTTTATCTATAAAACAAGGACAGTAATATATATGGTAGAGTAGGTGTTTTGAGGGTTAAATGAAGTAGTAGATAAAGAAATCACTTAATAAATAGTGTATTATACAACTAAACGTAGTAATTGTGCCTACATTTGTGAACTAAGTAGCTTTCTCAAAAGTGAAAACAGAAATCTATGGCTTCAAAATAAAATTGACCAGATGGTTCAGTGGTCTCCTTATCTCACAATCAGGGTCAAAATTTCAACTGAAACTCTATCACCGTATTACCCAGGACAGTGGTGGATAACCTACAGCACATGTGCCATGATGGGCTGTTTGTATCATTGAAAGCTCTAAAAGGTTCACCATCACTGATCTAGGAGAACATTAAAAAAGCGCAAAACAGCTAGGCACAGTGGCACACACTTGTAATCCTAGCTACTCAGAAGGCTGAGGTGGGAGGATTCCACGTTTGAGGCCAGTCTAAGCAACTTAGCAAGACCCTGTCTCAAAACACACACACAAATAAAAAAAGGCTGGGGATGCAGATCACTGGAAGAATATCCCTGGGTTCAATCATCAATGCCAAAAAAATAAAACAACAAAAATTAACGGGGAAAATTTTGAGTAGGATGTCATAAAGGACCTGACACTCCAAGCAGAAAGGAGTGTAGGCTGAAAATAATAACTTGGAAACTAAAATCTCACATGTACGTATACTCCAAAGAACATTCTTTCACAAGCCAATAACCTCTGTAAAATTTTTCAGTGACAATGGAAAATACTTAACAAATTTGCCATACTCTATCACCATTTATGCTGCTATAAGTTGTAATTTATGCTACCAAAAGCTTCACACTGGTACACTGTAACAGTACCATTTTCTAGCTGGGTGTAGTGGTGCACGCCTGTAATTCCAGCACTCAGGAGGCTGAGGCAGAAGGACTGCTGCAAGTTTTAGAGCAGCCGGGGCTTCAAAATGACCTCTAGGCCAGCCTGAACTGCATAGAGAGAACCTCTCTCAAAAAAAAAAAAAAAAATCATTTCTATCATACTGCTAGCTGGTGATCATATGTATCATTTACCATTTTGTGCCTTCATTTTTGTTGTCTTTTTCAGATGGAAAAATTTTTAGACTGTCTCAATGAAACTTTTCATCCTGGCTGCCTGTGTTGAGACCCTATCAATAACATAGTAGAGGGGCTGGGGATTTAGCTCAGCGGCAAAAAGCGCCTGCCTGGCAAGCGCAAGGTCGTGAGTTCGGTTCCTGGTACCGGAGAAAAAAAAAAAAAAAAAAAAAAAAAAAAAAAACATAGTAGAGACACACGTGGATGCAGGCTTTACTAGTTTAGATTTGAAACATTCACATCAATACTACAGCTGGAATTCCCAACCAGGAGCCCAAAACAGAATCTTAACTAAGCTTGAGGTCCCTGTCTGCCTCTGCATCTTGTTCTTATCGAAAGATGAGAAAGTAAGGGTGGGCTGGGGTTCATTTTTTCTTAAAGATGCCTGGGAACTGATAGGTTTCTTCACATACATAACCTTGTGATCTGATTATTATCTGCACATGCCGATGGTTGTCTTTATTTGACTTCCATTCCATTCTAACCTATACATAAGCTCCAAAACCTTTTGGCATATTGAATATGATATGTATAAGCCTCACTGATCTCCAGAATATGTAAATGAGAATCCTAGTGTCTTTCATTAGTTCTAGGCTTGGATTCACAAGCTATGTGAAGAAGATAGGCAAAATATCCAGAGACAGAAGCTTCTCAGTTGAATGATCAGCACTTCCTACTTCACAACATTTATCCCAACTGCAATAGCATTTGTTTGTCTATCTTGTCCCACAAACTCAAAGAGGGCAGGAATCATGTTTGTCTTGTTCATCACTGAATTCCCATAGTGGGTTGCCACTATACATCATTGTCCTAGGTACTAGGGCTGCATCAGTTAATAAAACAGATAAAACCCAGTCTCTCTCTTAGAGCTTATCTTCTAGCAGTCACTCACTTATTCCTAATATGAGATGCTAGGGTCTATGCCTAGACATCTGCAGATGTCTATCAATTCAATTAAGTAAACTTTTTTTCAAATCAAAGTTCAACCTTTAAGAATATATTTTTAAGCCTATTTATATGAAGTGAGAATAGCAAACCTACAGAAATAGAATAGCAAACCTATAGATAGAAAGTAGGATCACTGTTTGCCTATTAAGCTAGAAAGCTGATCAATGTTTGCACCAGAAAAGGGAATGTGTTCGAGGGAAATAGGGAACAATTGCTAATGGGAACAGGGTTTCTTTATAAGGTGGTGAAAATGTTCTACAAGTGATTATAGTGATGGTTGCACAATTCTGAACATACTGAAAACTACAGGATTGTAATGAATGGATTACAATCAAGTAAATGAATAAATTATATGGCATGTGAATTACTTCTCAAGAAAGTTGTATTTAAAATAAACAGGAGAGAAATTTCATTGGAGAGTGAGGGGGTTGAAAAGAAGAGCTGAAGAATCATAAGGCCAATGAAAAAGGGAATGCTGAGGACCCAACACAGGGAGAAACAATGATTTGATGGAGGATAACTTCAATAGGAAATCTTCAGGCAGGAATAGAAAGCTATGGGGTGAACTCTGGGATCGAGGCTGGCAGGTACAACAGAAAGACAAGGTACAAGAAGTTTGCCTCGAAATTTCTCTTAAAAAAACAGTCTGCTAAGTTATTTTTATTCAGCTTTTGCATGATGTAACTTATTTTTTCATTTTTCTTAGGAGCAGCAGGTCCAGTGTGTCAGATTCAATCTCCTGAGTTTCTCTGATGCAGTTTTATACACATGCTGTTCAAAATAAGAAACTTAAAATATGAAATAATAACAGGGTTAATAAATGAGGTTAGTACCTACTGAACATTTACTACATAATTAGGCATTACATTGTGTGGTTTACAATTTTTTTTTATTTACCTGAAATAGTCTCATAAGAACTATTACTATCCCTGTGCTACACAAAAGGAAAAAGAGGCTAAGAGACATTGAATAATCTGCCCAAGGCCATTTAGCAAGTAAGGAGTGAGGCCATGATTTTAGAACAAGTCTGTCAGATGCCTCAATATCTAAGCTCTTTAACAAATGAGCTGCCTGTGAATCATAAAAAAAACAACTTTCACAATGAATAATGTTAAAAAGGGGGTTCAGTAATAACCAAATTATTCCAAGATGGTAATAAATGGTAATTAATATACAGTATCTAGAATTTGGCAAAATTTTCACTGAAGTATAATTATCAATTTATTGTTAAGTAAAACCACAGGAAATTAAAATTTAAGTAACATGAGCTCATTTTAGCATTGAGGAAAAGGTACTTACCACTTTGCACAGAAGATGTGGTTGAATGAGTTTTCTCTTGAGTCTCCTTCTTGACATCCATTGGATCTAACAAAAAAGAAAATAGCAATACTACAAAATCATATCAAGCTTCTGAAAGAGTACTTCAAAAAATATAAACTAAAACTATTTTAACGGGCCAGTTTTAATTAATCATAAAATTTTAGGATTCATATCTTCATTTTCCACCTATGGCTTCAATGCTTTCTAATATGCTATGCACTTTATAATTTGCTCATTTCTTTTGTTTACTGGATATCTCACTCTACTCAAATGAAAGTTCCATAAGGGACAGTATTTATTTTTGTCTGTCTTGTTCACTGCAGTATCTTCAGTTCCTAGAACAGAACCTGGCACAGAGAACACTTGCAAGCATTTGTTAAGTGAATACATTGATAAATCAGTATGAGCTGATCCTTACAATGTTTAAATTAACATGTCCTAGAAGTGGATGTTTGTGATGTTCAACATGTAACAGAGAAACCAGAGTACAATGTAATTCCGTGAACTAAACAATTTTTCCTCTGTGGCAAGCTACAGAACTCAAAGTAGACCCATGAGAACACATCAAATCTAAGACATATCATTTTATCTACATATATTTCTGTATGTATCTTTGAAAGGACTTGTTTTTTAAAAACTTAAGGATAGGGCTGGGGATTTAGCTCAGCAGAACAGCATCTGCCTAGCAAGCACAAGGTTGTGAGTTTGATTCCCGGTACTGGGAAAAAAAACAAACCTTAAGGATAATGCTGCTATTACACCTGAAAATTAACTATAACACCTAAATATCATCAAATAACCAGTCAGTGTTTACAGTTCAATTGTTTTAATTATCTTAAGTTTATATGTTTGAATCAGAATTCAAATAATGTATGTTGATATGTCTTTTAAATATCTTTTGATATATAGGCTCCTCTTCCTTTTTTTTTCCTTCAATTGTTTTGCTGACAATACCAGTTTGCTGGTACTTTACACAGTTTTCCCTCTGGATTTTGCTGACTCCTTTCCCATAGTGTTGGGTTCTTTTGGTCTTCATATTTTAGGAACATCCCCCACACACCTCTGACCAGAGGAGTTAAAAGAGATTCAAAGTTTGTCTTTGGGGATGAGAATAGAGGAAAAGTTGACTTCACTGGTGATATATACTTACGACAGGAGGTTCCTAATATATAACTCTCTCTCTCTCTCTCTGTGATGTGCATAGCTGTGGATAGCTATTGCCTAGATCCATAGTTCATTAGTGGTTATAAAATGGAGACATTCTATCATTCATTCTTTAATATCCAGAAAACTCCTACCGAAAAATATTTCCTTTCCTCAACCACTCAGTTACCCTGAGATACAAATCACACATAAACTCACTATTAACACATTACTGTTTCCTTTAATTCTCTAGTTTTCAAAGTGAGTTGGATCTCTAGCATTCTCCACAGATGACCAATAGGTTTTATTTGTGGGGTTCTAAAACATTACTATAAACTCACTGATTCAAACATACCTGATATGTTTTTAATCATCTTGTTTCAGTCTTATGGATAATCTTACTGTCAAGTAATAAGCTTCTTTAAAAGGACTTAAGAATGGTATCTCTCAAGGCAATAGATCTACTTACTGGTTATGGCTGAGGGACACTTCAAGCTATGTAAACACTTGAGAGGAATATATGCATGGGCTGCTTCCTGTTTAAACTACTTGATTTGTACCAAAAAATCACATTTATTAAACAATTATTCAATGAGGTTTTCTAAGAGGAAAGAAAGTGCAATTATAAAGGTATGCCTCCTGTTCTAGGCAACCTAATCACCTAGTTATAGAGCCCACAATAAACTTATGCATTTAATAAAATTAGAAAACATTTAGTGCTCAGCATCTAGCCAGAAGAAAAAATCATGAAAGATACAAGACTTGAAGGAAGAACAGGATTTAAGAAGACAAATATTTGAAGAATGTGTAATGAAGAAGAAAATAAAACACAAAGCAAAATGAAAATGAATGTGACACATTCATGCAACAATAAACAGACTTTGCACTACAGGAAGACAGAATGAAGCATTTTTAAATTACTCATAGTCAAGTTATAAGATCTGGATTTTAATCTTTGTCATGGATTATCATATGACCTGTCACTTAACCTCCTTGAGTTTCAGTTTTTTCATTTATAAAGCTAAGACAGCTGGGCGTGGTGGCGCACACCTGTAATCCCAGCACTCAAGAGGCTGAAGCAGGAGGACTGCCATGAGTTTGAGGCCAGCCTGGGCTACAAAGTGAGTTCCAGACCAGCCTGAACTGGATAGTGAAACCCTGTCACAACACCCACCCACCCCCCAAAAGAGCTGAGAAAACCGTGACCATTTCTATAGCTATTCAGTTCTAAAATTCTAATTCTAAGCACCTAACATCTCCTCTTTTTAAAAAGGCTTTAACTTCACCTTTTTCACAATGCTGGGGCTCAAAACCCAGGGCCCTGAACATGCTAGGAAAGCACTCCAACAATACAGCTACATCTTCAGTCCAAAAAGGTTTTACTTCAAAAATTCAACATGTCCTAAAATATTCATTCTAAACAAATAAATAAAAATGTTACCATTTTTAAACAAGTTAATCTTACCTTCATTTGCTGTTTGTCCCATTTTATCCTTTTCTGGTATTTTTTCCTATAAGAACAAAAGTCAGTTAATGACTCCTGCATAATACATTTCTAAAGGGTAATAGTGTTAGGAATTAACAGAATTAGATCATTTCAGTCTCTTTCCTTTTCCTTTAAATAAAAATAACAAGACTAGTAGATCGGTAGTTGGCTGAGAGGAGGAGTGAGGAATAATTGAAATGGATATGGCTATGGATATGAGGTTTCCTTTGTGTGGTGCTGAAAATGTTCTAATATTAGTGGCGATGTTTATGCAACCTTGTGAATATACAAAGAACCATTGAACTGTACACTTATAAAGGGTGAATTTTAAGGTATGTGAATTATAGCTCAATTTAAAAAAAAATTCAGTGAGCCAAACAGAGCAGATGGTAGGTTGACAGAGTTGATATTCAAATTGAGGCATACTCCCAGAAGCCAATTTCTACATTATGTTGCTGAGATGTGGGATAATCAAGACTATACTGGTGAAACGTTTAAGAACTCGAAGAGTCAAGTCTTCTAACAAGAATTATTTGTTTAGAAGGCCTGTGTATTTTGAACCACTATTCATTAACTGGAACTTTCCCTGCATGTCATTAATTTGTCAGGCCCTCTACAACAAAGATAAATATTAAGACTGTTCTTACACTCCAAGAGATCAATCTAGTCAGAAATAGGTAGATAACAGAGGTTATGTACATGGTAAGTCAAAAATGTAACCTAAGAAGTAAAAAATCCACCTACCCACTCTCCTATAACTGTGTGCACTGGTAGTAAGAACATAATGAAGTTTATACCTGAAAGTAATTTGGTATTTAAAGGAAGCCTATGAAGGCAATGTGTATAAAGTCAACCAGAGAAACTTTTGCAGCTTGGACCAAAGAGCCTTACACTCAAGCCTCACCTGTTCAAAACCTACTTCTTATAACATCTTTCACTTACTAAAAATACTATTTTTCCAGGTGCTTGGCATTAAAGTCCAGGTATGTTTGTTGTTCTTTTACTCACATTCAGTCAGCAGTTTTCCCTTTAGGAGAATATGCCCATGATCATTTCATTTCCTTTATATATATTCCATTAAAACTGAGAATAATGCTGAGCAGAAAGTAGGCACAATGTGAACCCAAATGAAAATTCTATATTCACCTAATTGAAATAGAAAGATTTTTTCAAACATTTAAAATCCATATGTGTCATGGAGATTCACTCTTGCTCCTGATCCCCCATTATTCTTACTTCCAAGTTTTTTATTTCACATAGGAAAATGTGTTAATTCTCAATGTAGGCCTATTGTAAAACTAGTTGTAAGATCAAATTGAATGCTTAAATTTACTTTTAAGCAAAGATTTCTCTCTTAGAATGTATAACTACATTACTTAGCCCAGTACAGTGACACGCACCTGTAATCCCAGAACTGAGGGACGCTGAGGCAGGAAAATCATAAGTTCAAGTCCCACCTATGGCAACTGTGTAATACACTGTCTTAAAATTAAAAATAAAAAGAGGGCTGGGGATGGAGCTCAGCAGTAGAGTAGTGATAAATAAATGCATTTGCCAGGAATGATGGTGCACACCTGTAATCCCAGCACTTGGGAAGCTGAGGCAGGAGAATCCCCATGAGTTGGAAGCCAGCCTGGACTACATTCAATTCAAGGCCAGCCTGGAATATAAAGCTAGACCCTGTCTCCAAAAAAACTATATGTATCTATAATTATCAGACAAATGACTGCCTGGGTTTGATCCCCAGGTACTGCAAAACTATCCCAAGTAGCTTAAACTTCAAATTATCATGCTCTAAACAGATAAAACTTTACAGTGAAACATTTCACCATCCTCCTTGTTACAAAAATCCCCCAGCCTTAAGGGAAAGAAAATCCCTAATGGGAGTATGAATAATTCACTTTCAAATATACACAGTACTTCTCTACTGAGCTTTCAATCTGTAAGACTTAATCCATTTAAACAAGTGAACAAAGCAATCTTTTTCTGGCTCACATGCATAAATGACTTTGTTAACAGATGTGCAGGCAATAATTACATGTACCATTAAGGGTCTATGCTTACGAGAAACAAGACAAGGCCTCTGAACTATGGGAGCTCTCCAGCAGGGCTTCCACCCTGCATTTGGCAGGTATTAAAGCAAGTCTTGCTTGGTACAAGTTGTTCATATGCCCACCTAGCTCTCCTCCTAGATTGGACAGTGGTAGAGGATATGGAGCATATATTATTCTTCCTTGTAGCATTCCCACAGCAAACACAAAGCCTGAACTTAACTGTGCTATAATCCCACTTGTATATAATTTGGGGGTATAAATTGGATGAAGGCCTGTATAAATATTTTGGTGATCCTCCTTCTTATCACAGGGCAGCAAAACACTAGACAATCTTTTTTTTTTTTTTTTTTTTTTGTCTTCTTGAGACAGGGTCTCGCTATGCAGTTCAGGTTGGCCTTGAGCTCACTCTGTAGCCCAGGCTAGGCTAGTGTCGAACTTGCAACAATCCTCCTGCCTCAGCCTCCCGAGTGCTGGGATTACAGGTTTGCACCACCATGCCTGGCTTAGATGATCTTTATCTTCCTTCTATTTTTGTAGAATACTTAGTTGGATTCTTCACATATTTATTAAAAAATCAGAGAAAATCATTTTCATGGGGGCGTATGTCTTGGGAAGTTTTATGAATAATCCCTAAACATTATATTAAGAAGCTATATATGTGAAATGTTGATCTACACATAAACTTAAGTTATATATTCTTAAAGAAACAATTTACAACTCAATAACTAGTAATGCCATATCAATACACAGAATAATTCTTTTAATTGCTTCCAGCTGTTACCAGTTACTTTGTCTTCCAGATCCTTAGTTTTCCCAAGTATAAATTAAGGCTTATACCACCTACACTTCATTGTAGTCATGAAAATAAAATGCGACATGGTAGTGTATGTACAGCATCCAGCTTAGTGTCTTAAACAAGTGGATGCCCAAAAATTGTTCTTTATCCTACCCCATCTTTCCCAGTTAAAATTTACCAATGAGTGAGTTTTTTTTAGCATTGACATTTAAATTATGTTGCAAAGTAAAACTATGTTCCAATTTTGATTCCTGAGCATTCCTTGCTTTCTTTTCCAATGTGTAAGCCAAAAAGGTGTTTAACAAAACAAAAACTCTTAGTTTAAGTACTTAGTTTAAATACTCTTACAATAAGTAGTAATAAATGCATGTATTTATAATAATCAGATATACGATTACAAAAGAAAGCAGCCATTATCTACTAATTAGCATTAACCAAAAAAAGCTGTAATAGTCCAGCTAAAGCCAGAAGAAATTTAGTGTCACCCTATGGTGGGTAACTTTGAGGTAATTATCCATAAATATATTATTTCTTGTAAGACAAAATATGCCAAAACTGCCCTGTGAACACCTAGAAATTGGAATGTTTTTCTTTTTTTATACTCGTCATTGCACACAAGACTTCCCCCAAATTAGAATATTTAACTGAAATGAAGGAAAAAAAAAAATCACCTTTAACCTTACAATCAAATAATATGAGCTGTTAAACCACCTGGCTACACACACACACACACGTATATACTTCTAATTTATAAAAACCGTATATGTAAATGCATATATAATATACACACGTAAACCACTTTTAAATACATACTTCCCAATTTTTTATCACTACTTTCCGACAAAATTAAGTCTGTATTATGAATTCATAATCAACGTTTTAGCTAAAATGAAAATGGGACAATGAATAATAAATGTTGTTTAAAAATTCTTAAGGAAAAATGCCTTAAGGCAAAATTCCACTACTGTCAAGACTGACACTTAGAGCAGCACAAAAGTTATTGCTATTTTTGCAATCCTAAATAATAAACATGGAAGAATATGAAGCTTATTGCTATTTGGGGGTGAATTTATATGTTTATGAAATACTTTTAAGATACTGTTTGACCACCAAAACTTTTAACCATTTTCTATACAATTTTTTATGTTATATATTATGCTATTTCTGAAAAAGGCTTAACAGTTCCAATGTAAAAATACTTAGGGAGGAGCTTTTTTAACTAAAAGGAAAAAGTAAAATTATACTAGTTAGGGAAAATGTAGTGCTTAATCTCAATGATTAATTTCTCTCTGGGCCTCCTAGTAGCTAAAGCAAAAAATGAAAATACTTGGAAACATAAGTCTGTTACAAGATAAAAGTAGATACAAATCCACTGGGAAAGGCAAACATTTTCCTAGGGCTGAACACTATCAGAAATCTGTAAAAGGTGTGATATAAATGAATAAAGGCTAATGAATTTAAAGCTATCTGACCATAATTTGAAGGGGTTATGGTTGCTACATTAACTAACTCAGTAGTTCTACATACTAGTGTGTACAGGACATGTGCTTACTAGGATGTTGTGCATTGTGTCAACTTGAAAAGTTTAGAAGTTTATCTAAGTGACTCAGCACGGGGCCAGGGTCCTCACTTCGTACATCCTGGATAAAACCTAGGGGTTCTCTGCCATTATTCAGGCTGGCCTTAAACTTGTGAACCTCCAGGAGAGTAGTAGGTATTACAGGTATATGACACCTCCACAGGCCCTATCAGTTTTTTTTTGTTTTGTTTTTTTGTTTTTAAAATAAGGATACACCCTGTATCTCTAATTAGGAATCACTACCTCAACGATCAATAAAGGTAAATATTTTGACAAGGACGATAACTAAGCAAATTTGACAGCAAGAATTCTCTCAGGAACCTTTTCAACTTTAGGTTACTGGGTCAGACGATATAAAATGGATGCAATTATAGAATTTCAACCTGACAGACGATAAAATTCAGAGGTTAAGCTTTAAAAAAACAAATTTGTGCCAAGGCCAATAAGTTTGCTGCCATATTTCTAAAACAGAACTCCTAAAAAATGTTCAAACTTAAGCATTCATTATGAGAATTATTCACTAACCCTTCCATTTTAGCGCTATTAAAAGCTACTGTCTGAAAAAGAGTAAAGTGCATCTATGGGGATTTGACCTA